TTTTCTTTTTTTTTTTTTTTTTTTTTTTTTTTTTTTTTTTTTTTTTTTTTTTTTGCGGAGAATGTAGCATCAAGTCATGCGGTTCGTTAGATGAAAGACAACAAAGCAGCGCGCCCCACGTGAATTGGCTGGGCAAATTTTTTGGCTTGTTTTTATTTTATTATTCATTTAATTTTTTGTCCCATGTCATTTCAATTGTTAATTATACATCTGTATTATTTATCGCTGGCGCAATGGTAGCTCCGATTAAACAGAAAAAACAAGCAAATTATTTACTGTTAACTATGTACGTCCAGTTTTTTTTAAGACTAAATGTGATATGATTTAATGCCCAAAATATTCAGCTGTGAAATGGATTTGTTTAGTGCTGAAGTAGTGGGTAATATTTATGGCTAATTTATTTAATTTTGGAACTAATTTATGTAAACTAGATATTTAAAAAATTCGTAATTTTCACAAACAACAAATTAGAAAATTCCACAACAATTGTTAATCTAAATTTCAAAATGACTAGCGAAAGGCAGTTAAATACTGCGTGATGAATATTGAATTATTAATATTATTTCAGTAATCCAAAACAAGTGAATCGTCACATAGCTATGCACAAACGATTTGGTTGGAATTTCAGCTTGGCATTTAAATTATGAATTATTAACAATTTCATACGAACTAGGGTAACTAAGGGTAAGGCATCCGGGGGTGTATAATGATATGTAGGTTAATATTAAATTTTATTTTTAAAGTAATTATGCAGCTTGTCTGGGCTGTCAGTAAACCCCAAAGTTGTGTATAGGAAGGAGGTGGAGTTGACCAAGAAACCAAGAGAAACAGCTTTAGCACAAGTTAATTATGTATACTCTTTATTGTGTGTGTGGGTGTGTGTGTGTGTGTTGCTTTGTGTGTATTCATCGTCTGCAAGAAAACCACGAGAGTGTTGAAAACATCAACCCATTATTACGTCGAGTTCTAAGTATCATCGTCTCGCGTCTAGACAGACATGGCCTTCCCTTGCGACTCTTGCTTAATATACAACGTAAATTGATACGGTTATGTGCTGGCATTTGGAATTAATAATTAAAATGTTTCATTTACATTCCCAAATATACGTGACCAACTCAACACAACGTAACTCAAGGCATGAGTTTACGACTGGGGCGAAACGAATTTACATTCTACATTTGAGAATTCCTTGAATTTGTTTTGGTTTTTTTTTTTGTCAGGCCCTAAGAGAAGACCTCTTTCCTATTCCTATACCTATACCAATGAATTCGTATTCAGCAAAGTTCTTTAATTATTTATTTTCCTTTTTATTTGCTTAAATTGAATTATTGAATAACATTAAAAACTGTGCCAGCAAAATATAAAATTCCCATATATTTACTTATTATTACATATTACGCAAAAATTTAATTTATTTCAGCTACACGCTCCCTTCATAATTATTTTTATTGAATTAAAACTGAAGCTAAACTTTGCTGATAATAATTTTTCTTTGTTTTCCCTGTTAAATATCTATTATTAAAAAAAATGGGTTTCTAAATATTTTGTGATATGAAAGCAGTTCCAAAGTATCCCATTATTACATTATTTTATCATTTTGATCCTACTCCAAAAAGTATGCTATGCACAATGACGCAGGGGGTAGCCTAATGACTCACACAAAGGGCTGCAGCTGCGGCACAAACCCAAACTATAAAATAATATAAAAAAATATATAAATTTAATAAAAATAGAATTTGCAATAGGAGCACACGTTAAATCAATTGTAAAATTCAATTTTCGGCTTTGATTGCCATGAGGCGATATTATTTGAAATGCTTGACATGTGTTCAAATAGCGAAAGTTATGTATTTTTATTTGAAAATTTAAATAACAATTTTGTTTAATGTTGACTAACTTTTGCTTTTTAATGTGTGAAGAAAATTTGCTGTTAAATTGTTTTTTAATATTAAATTTTAGACGCTGAATGCAATGTCATAGATGTATATAAATATTCTTTACATATTTTACATACTCACTTAAAAAAAAAGATAAAGAAAAATATGATAAAAATATATAAAAAAATATATATATTTGCCCATATGAATTCATACCCTTTACACATAAATAGCTCCCAAATTTTTCACATATTTTCCTCAATTTTTAAATGAATTATTGCAACACATATCTTAAAATATATGTACATATGTATATAAATATATTCACATTGCAGTTTCTGCATATTTTCAAATATCAAATTTCAAATGAATATCGACAACTAATATTTTTTAATTATGCACATATATATGTACAAAAATATATATATTCACAATATACATACCCCTTATATATCCTAAAATCTTCATTCATTCATTCAGTCTAGACAAAGATTTATACATAATATAAAGCCCTATCTTCCAGTCTAATAACTGCGCCCCTCCTCAATAATACTTTACGTTCTTGAGTTCACTGCGATTTCTTATAACTTCATCGTTGACCCCTTGCATTTAAAATTCACACGTTGGTTTTGAACTTATTATTATTATGGAATTATTATATCTGGAATGTGATTCCACTAAGCTAAGGTTTCGTATAATAACAATCAACATTTTATCTTAGGCCAACAATAACTGGAGCAGAAGCAGATCACAGGAGGACTCTACTTGTTTGCGGTGTACGATAGATTTGTTAAGTGGGCATTGCTCTGGGTATTGTCGTCGGTCTCCTTATCCCTGGGCGTCTCGGGATCTTCGCGCTCCTCCTCCTCGTCGATGATGCTGATGTCGCGTATGGAGGGACGATGACTGCGTCGCCAGCCGGTGAGGATCTGCGGCTGCTTCGTCTTCTTCAGCATTCTGGTGCCCGTTATGGATATCAGGATGGCACCGAGTGGAGCTGTGAGGACGATGCTGAAGACGCAAACGGTCTGCACAATTTCGGCCCATTTGCGCTCCTCGGCCGTCGCATCGCTACCCAGATTCTTCAGTGCGACGGGCCCCAGGGCAGCCTGCACCGTCGCTTTGGCCATCCAGGAGAGACCCACGAAGAACTTCTCCTTGGTGTTCAGCCGATCGCCGACGGCAATGCCAGCCGTGATGAAGATGCGTATGACGACGCCTGCGAAGATGCAGGCCGCGCCAATGGAAACTGTGTGCGAGTCCAGCTCGTCGATTTTGATGGTGGCGCCGGTGAGGCCAAAGAGAATCGGCTCGAAGATCATCCAGAAGATCTCGAAGGCCGTCGATACGGGATTGTCGTCGACATCCCAGCCGTCTTTGCACCAGAACAGATTCGATACGAAGGATGAGAAGACCACGCCCAGCGGCCCAAGGCCCTCAAAGCCCAGCTCCTCGCTGCCATAGATGGCCACCAGATTGCCAGCGAACAGCATGAGCGTGCGAAGGGGCACCACATAGGCGTCGCCCTTCTCGGGAAAGATGCGCGCAATGGAGCCCCAGATGACGCCAAAGGCCAGACCGCCCAGAATGCAGACGGGTGCCTGGGCAATCTGGTAGCCCACTCCCTTGTCGGAGAACATGATTGTACTGATGATGCCGAAGATGGCCACGGAGAGGGCATCGTCCACGCCGGCCACAGCCACCACCAAGGTGGGAATGCCCTTGACCACGCCGTAGCCCTTGGTGCGCAGCCTGAAGAGGCACGGCACGACGACAGCCGGGGAGATGGCGGCAATGATGGAGCCCAGCAGACAGCCCCACATCCAGGGCAGGTCGAGCAGATAGTGCGACATGACCGTCATGACAGCCGCCTCCACGATCCAGGGCACGATGCCCAGCTTGAGAATCGTTTTGTAGACCTTCTTGAAGGCTTCCGGCTCCATTTCGAGGCCAGCTCGAGTCAGGATTATGGTCAGGGCAAACTTGCGCAAATGCCCGGTCACTTTCGAGAAGTCCCCTTCGAGATCCACCCAGCCGACGTTCTGGAAGCACAAATTGAATATTAAGGCTAAGGATGACAAGTGCATATGGATGCGAGCTCACCTGAAAGAGTATGCCCACCAGCAGCATGCCAATGAGACGCGGCAGGGTGGTCAGGGATATTATGTAGCCACCGAAATTGGCGGCCACCGTGAGCACCACCAGGCTGAAGAGCTGCCCACCCGGGGCAGCTGTGTCCCCAATGATCACAAAAGCTACAATCCAGAGTAGTAGACCTAAGGGAAATATACATAAATACATGTTAAAGAGAGCGAGAGAGAGAGAGATAATTTCCCACTCACCAATCAGAATGAGAACGATGAGGCGAGAGAATGTCCTGAAGGTGGGACAGAGCGGGTAGGGAAAGACTTTCTGCCAGAAGGACGGCTCCCAGGACTCGCTTGGCTCCTCGCCGCGACACTTCAGGCAGAAGGTGTAGATCCACGAGTCCTCCACATAGTTAGCCCCGTCCTGCGACTGCGGCGGCTGATGCTGATGCCCCTGGTACTTGGCATTGAGCACATCCAATGCACTTTGCCGATAGTTTTCTGCAATGGAACGGAAGCATCCACAGATAATGAGTATGCCGAGTGCAAGCGAACTACGCGTTTGCACTCTGATTACAGCTTCATAAACAAATCATAACATCATTTGGCATGCGCCTCTAATTGTGTCTGCGAGCAGACGCAATCAATGGAGCAAGAGTAGGAAGTGCAGCGCTGATCGACTATGAGATATTCTCTGCATTTTCGAATGACATACAGCAACTATACTAATAAAATACTAAAATCATACTAAAAACCATTATTACAAAATTATACAATTATAGTTACAATGAAGTTAGATGATGTCAGCTATAAATTATCGTATTTAATTACACGCAGACTGTCTATACATTAAACAAAAAATAGATTTGACATAATGTAAGTATATCTGATATTTAATAGAGCAGAATATACTTGTGAATCTTTCTATGCATATGCATATATATATATGTATATGCTTATAAGCTCATACAAAAAGAAAATATTAGTAATACTAATATATAATTAGATTTCAGTCAAAATTCGCATAGAATAATTCATCAAATATTTTCTTTTTTTTTTTTGAATAGAAAATTTTAAAAAAATATAATCATTTATAAAACATAAGATTAAAGACTCTAAACATTTAATAATGGAATTAAAAATAATTATCCATTTATAAAAAATAAATATTAAATTCAGCTAGAATGGAAACATGAAAAAAAAATTTATGTTGTTGCATTATAATAAATAATACAAATGCAAAAAAAAATATATATATTTTCTTATATTGTATAAAAATTTCATATATATTTGGGCTTGTATATATCATGTATTGAGCTCCAATATATAATGGACCATTACTTATTATTAATTGACAATAATAATTAGAGGCAGAACAAAAACAATGCTAAATTCTTCAATATTATTTTCAGCGACTTTCATATCTATATGATTTCTCATTAAGTAGCACTCAACGAACCGCATATAAATATCGTCAAGAAAGAGGGTTACGCAGTACTCAAAGCTGCATTATGTTAATAGTCCATTATGTTAATAGTCCACCCTTAAGAGCTGTATCAAATACGTAAGACCTTAAACCTTTCACACTTGAAAGCTCAATATACCCCATTAAGCGATTGCATATGTAAGCATGTGTATGTGTGTGTGTGTGTGTGTCTATCTGTCTATTTTCGAGTTGCGAATAGCAACTGGAAATTGGAAATCACTTTCCGGACTGCTAATTGATAATGTTAACGGTGTGATGGCAAATTAGATTGACAATAGGAGCACAAGTGCTCGAATAGCAAATAGCGTATTTGCTTTTACTGCCAACCGACGTAGAGTGTGAGTTGGCCTCGGAACTCTTCTTAAATTGCCCTATACGACTATCTCTTCACGTATGTATGTACGTATGTGTACGTGGATGAATATGTAAGAAGCGGCGCCAGATATGCTTGCAATAGAATGCGACGAGTCAACAAATCAAAACTGATTGATACCTGTTAAAGTCGGCCGAAATGCGGAAAATTTTGTATATTACGCATACGCAATGTGGGCCAGTTTGTATATCAATAAGCATTTACTAATTGATTATTTTGATGGATTTTATATTGATTTCACGATAATGTATGCAGAGGGAAACTTTTTTTAAATATGTAAACTTATCTCTTACTCCAGCTAGATCTGATCTTGTGACTACATCATATGCCTCTCATTTGAAGTACAAGTTTGTTGTGCTTTGAGTGTTTGAAAGAGAATAATAATTTATTATTATCTTCACTTTTTCACAGAAACAAAGAAGACATTTTCTTCATAATAGAGCTACAAGCTTATATCAAATAAAATTTAAATATTATTTAGCTTTGAAACCTAGCAGTTCCCAGAAATCTATCTACCATATACTCCTCTCTTCATTCCCTTTGAGAACAAAGTTTTCCCCCTTCATCCACCCTCCCCTTACCATAGCTGTGCGTTGATCCGCGATCGCTTTCGTTGTCATTGGTATGCAGCGAGGGCTCTTTCAGAATGCTTCTTCTTCTGGCTGGGCCGATTTCGGTGTGCGAATGCGTCGACGTCTATGGATTACAGTTACAATAAAAAAAAAAATACAAACATATCAGACATTTATGACCTGGCTCTGAAATCCCAGACGATTATCTCTGCCAGCGTTTCGCTATCGCGCCGGCCAAGAAATTATCAATCAAGGGTTTTTGTCGATAGCCGTCGATTCTCATGTTTATGGCCAGCACGTAAATAAACACACAAATCCAAATTTACGAGCCCATTAGCCACAACGTCGATCGTAATCGGTAATTGCACACGCTATAGCGAATTGACGCCAGTCCACTCGGCTAGTGAACCACTCGATAGCTTCTCGAGAACTCACCTGGGATATTTTGCGTCTGGGATTCTGCTCGTAGGCGAGATTGTCGTAGCCGGCGGCCCCGCCGCTGGCGCCGCCGATCATCGGCGGATCGGCTATGATGCTGACCCGCCGCTTGGGCTGGCTCTCGATGACAGTGGAGCTCTTGTGGCTGCTATTGCTGTTGCCGTTGGGCATGGGTGAGGTGCGGATGTCCGGCAGAGGCAAAGTGTTCAAGCTGCTCTCGTCGCTGTTCGCGCCGGGCTCCCCGTTGGCCGTCATGCTGCTGTGCCGCTGCTGCTGGAAAAGAGTTTCACCCTCGTTTATCAATTTATCTCGATTTATGACTGTTGCGAAAATACTATATTTCCGATACGTTTTTTTTCGCTTTCATTCACACGCGAGTGTTTCTCTCTTTACAACTATCTCGTTCAACGTTTAGCGTTGAAATAAATTCATTATCATGCGGCGTCGCTGGCGTTGGTGGGAGTTGTGCAGGGCCACTCACATAATGTATGTGTATGTGTGTGTGTGTGTGTGAGTGCGGGTGTCTGTGTGTATGTCGAATTCAACACAAACTTGTGAAAGGGCTAAAGATTAAAGCAAATATTTAGCTTTAAATCCATGAGGCACCTAACAAAACATTCAGCAAATAAATTATACATTTTAGATTGGTAACAATTAGCTTTCATTTAACGATCTAAACAACTAAAATATCGGGTGGAAACTGGTTTGGATGGGCTGCTGAAATGATAAGCGGAATCCTAACTTTAGGTTTCATGTGATTAAAGATCATCTCAGAAATGCTAACTTAATGAGCGTAGCGTATTGAGGCTTGAATTTACTCATAGTTAACTATGGGCTATCAATCAAAATAAATTGTTAGCAGCAATTGAAATGCTTAGCTAAAAGTTTTAAGTTCTAATAATAATCTGAAACTCATGATAAGCACATACATATGTTAAAGAGATATGTAAATCTACAATCATGGAGGCAGTTTGAATTTATCTAGAATGGGATTTAATGATATATACAATAGAAGTATCTCAAGCAAGTTCAGTCTTTTGATACATCTTAGATAAGGTAGATCATATATATATTATAAAAATATTTTTATATATGTATGCTTAATTCCCGAAATTCTTTTTGAGACATCACACTGTATAAGCGAAATCTTTATATATATTATAAAAATATATTTATATTTTTTTGTACTTTCCCAAACTTTAGTTTACTCAGTTTCATTTAGCATTGCACCGAAAATTTTGTAGTATTATATTATATTATACCAATATAATATATTTAATAATATAATATATCTAATGCATACTAATTTTGAGTAATTGGCAATATATATTCCTGACTTAATATGCTTTTGTTATAATTCTTATTGTACCTTTCTTTCATATCTACTATAATGATCACTATTGCATGTTTTTTTCTTTATATAAAATCATAACTTCGTCAACTATCAACACAAAAAATATAAAACCTATAGATAATTTTTTGTAAAAATAATAGTAAATAATTGAATAAATTATCTAAGTTTTGCCTATGACACATAATTAATAATTTCAGCAACTTTTTATAGAGTATCCAAGTAGCATTAAGAGTTGTTATGAAGGTATTGAAATATGCCTAAAAATTGTTTTGCCAGCTAGTCACAGATGCGTCATCAAATTTAATTAGACAATTAGCATGCCAATGTATGAAATGATTTATAGTATTTTTTTATGGTCTAAATAATACTAACTATGTATTCGGGTAACTAGGTAACAGGCACTTTAAAAGTGCTCGTAGGCCATAAAATTAAACGTTAAAGATAAACATCTCGAATAATTATTAGACATTAATTGCCATATTCCCGTCTAATATTTCATTTGGGACCGGAAAGGCATTAAAGATAGATCAAAGATTATAGATAACGGGCCACTTGATATTCGAAATTTGAATGAGACTATTGACACATAAAACACATGCGTATACAAATACATGTATACTTCAATCAATAATATTGACATTTTTATTCGATTCAAATCTGAAATTCAATAACAACAATAAATGAAACTCTGCCTGAATCATACTAATATACTCATTTGATATTTCGGCAGAGCATATTGGCCAGCTCTTTCTTGATCGATTTATTTGCCATACCTTGTATAATCTGCCAATTATAGAGCTCTGGTAATTGATCACCTCAGGCTCGATTCAAGCAGCTTGCTTATTTCATTCACGCTCTAATCCAAAAGCCACTAAATATAGATTTAACTATATGTGCGTTCTATATATATTATATAGTAAGACCTATGTCTAGTGTGTATATCTACTTATGTCAGCAGTTCATTCCGAGTGTATTTGCAATCAATTCTGCATAATTGGCCAGACACGCACAATGTTTTCAATTTTCACCTGTAATTAACGCCATCTCAACGTTGATATGAGTAATTCGTTGGTAAAATTGATACCGACAATATTTATGATCGCAATTGATTGTGAATTTCATTTCGTTTGCTCCGGAACAACAGGAGTGTCATTGATTCGTTGCCCCCGCACAGAAGGAATCAAATTCGCACTGTCGAACTACGGCTAGCTGACGAGAGATCGACTGAGAAATACTCTACATATAATTTAATGATAGAATATTTAATTAAGTTGTAGAAAATGCGTGGGCATATTTAATAATGATATTAATTAGCTATTAATATTTATTTATATGTATATATTTATTATAAGTGATATTTTTTTTATTTATATATTATTATTATTGTTTAAATATCAACTGAAAAAATGCGATCTTTTTTATTTATGTTTTATATGTATGTATATATATTTTTTAGGAGTGCGTTTAAATATTTTTGACACTATATTAGTATTTAAACCACAAAATTAAATATTCTTTTAATGTTTTAATACATATTTAGGCTGATCTGATATTTAAATATATTTTTTTTAAGTCATTTCTATAATTTATTTATTTATTTATTTATTTTATTTTTTTAATTGATTTCACTTTTAATGTTTCAATTCAACATACTTTTGCATTTTCAATCAAATTTTAACAAACATAAATTTTTCTTTCAATCGAAATCCTGATTTCGATAGGATTCGAACCACTGTGCATTGGTACGCCGATGCGATTCTAATTGTCGATTGTCTGGCAAGTGCGTTGACAAACATTCTGTAGTGGGGCATCACGTGCCCCGGCTGGAGAGTCGGTCGAACAAAGCGGATTAATTAGCACGCCGGTGTCATTTGTCAGCTTTTTAGCATTTATGATAATACTTTATTTGGATGTCAAACAATTGCGACGATCACGTGTAAATGGCACAAGCCAACTGGAGCATACCCAAGAAGCAAATTTCAATTTTCTTCTTTCTTTCTCTCGCAGCTGAAGTTTTGTTTGTTGTTTGCATTTGGTCCGGTTTACATAATACCGTCGGTTAATTTCCCATCGTTTCGTTTTCGACTTGAGCGAGAGCCCCCGTCCATAAATCGCGACACCCGCCTGCCAGTGCCTGACCTTGCCAGAGGTGGCATACCACGCAAAAGCAGAAAATAAAGCGTTTCGCATTGGCACCGAAACGAAAAATTGTTCTACGTGACATGTTTCACTAATAAGTAGACGCCAAGCAGCGCACCAATGCTTCAGCTGCCCAGTTGCCCGGTGTCTCCCACTTGGCCAGTTGGCAGTAAGCAAATTTGCAAGCTTAGTTAGCGACCAGGTCAACTGCCGGTCGAGACTTGAGCGACGCGACGCTCTGAGTTTCCAAGTCGCAAGCATTGTTTTCTATACCCTGCACGAATCAACTATCGGCAGAGGGTATCTCTAAAATTTAGAGGTCGACGGGAGTGACTCAAATAATGTGTGAATCATTTTGATGTACGGCAAAACTGATGTGAGTGACTCAAATTATGTGAATAATTTTAATCAATTTTGATGTAAGTTAAAAGTTATTAAAAATATTTATATTCCCAATTAACTTTAATCTGTCAGACAGATTAGATAAAACTTTAATTGAAAATATTTATAAAATTTGCTTACTGCGTGCCTCTAAAAATATAATTTACATATTCATTGAAGAATTGGTTTGATAAGTATTAAAAAAAAAATTAAATAAATATCATTTAATAAAACAAAAGATTTGATATCATTTACGCCTTGTAAAAGAAAAATAAAAATAACTCTAAAGACGTCAAGACATAATTTACTAATAATAATAATGCTTTTAGTCTACACCTTTAACGGAAGCCCCTATAGATTATCTGTTGAAGCTCTAAGATCAACAAGAATATCTGGATATAGTATATATGAACAATGTAGATATTAAGTATGCATATATCATATGTAGGAAAAAAATCTATATTCCTTCCCTAATCTATAATCTATCATTCAAATTCGGATTTCCTTAAAAATATAATAATTGTGTAAACTATATTGTCCACCCGATTACAGGGTATTATCTAGTCAAGAGCTCATCAACCTGTACATTTTCTTGTGGATTTTTTCAAGCCACGTTTCACAACTCAGTCGGATGAGTATTCAGCGAGCAATCGGTTAGCGTTCATCCAATATATACATATTGAACAGTGGGTCAGTGTCTCTATTTGCTTTCTTTCCTTCTTTACTTATTTATTTGTTTATTTACTTATTGATTTCTTCACATCTCTTATAAAGTTTAAGAAATGTGATTTCGAATTAATCTAATCGCTGTGGAGCACCAGGCCTGGTATATTGTTGTTAAACACACAGATAATCGGCATAGATAATAATACTTCAAATCGAGAGTAATATTATGTATGTAGATATACGCTATATAGACACAAATACTTCAAATCGAAGCGAGCAGTATTCATGTCAATTAAAATTGATAAGAATTTTCCTCTACCACTTAAGATCCCGGCCATTACAATGGCTATTATCAAGCATGTGCATTTGGTTCAGCAGTTTGCACTGGAACTAGTTCAAAATGCTAGAAGTTCAACTGAATCGTGCTAAGCTGGTAGCTTACAGAAGTTAACTTCTTCCATAGAAATAATCTATAGTAAACCAACAATCCATGTTACATTCCGCCTATGATATTCAGTATACCCATTTAACAAGTGTGCTGAGTATAGCTGATAAACAACAAATTTGCCAAAAACAAATTGTTATTGATATTTAATTACACTCGCACAGCTGGTTTATTATTTAATTAACATATGTTGAAAATCAATAATAATATTTTATAATAATAATTTAAGTAGCTTTAAAAATATATAAATTTTGTTGGCGAATAATCGAATAAAATATTCAAATTTATTTGACTCACTCTTAATACATTTAGCTAATCAAAATTTAATGCCCCTAACTGGTTTATAAGTCTTTCGCCTGCAGATAAAAGATATATATCTACGTCTGTTATCGACTTTATTATTGGGAAAGTTCTAAGGAAAGATACTCTATCTGCTGCAATTGATTGGTTTGTTTTTGTTTTTCTTTTTGTTTTCTGTATATACATATAGCACAGATCAATCAGAGTTTATTGACTTATCATCATAAAGTCTTCAGCTGGGCCTGACGTCACAATAAATTTGGTTTGTATATAAACTTCTTCTGCTCAATTGATTTGGTATGCAGGCCAATAAATGAGCTCCATGATATATAGCTGGCATATGATTTGCAGCCAATTGCACGATTGGAGCCACACTTTATAGTTGCCTTCATTATTTTATCACTGGCCATATATTGGCGATTGTTTATAGCATATATAAAATACTTGCCATGATTGATGGCACCTCAGCCAGCGAAAGGCTGGTTAATTCTCACCGAGTACCCACTCGCTGTCCAGCTTATCTACCAGTCAATGAATATTTCCACCTCTACATGATATATGTATGTATATACACGTATTAAGGTCGCGATAAGAAATTGTGGAAAGTGAAGCAAAAGATTTGAGCAGATGAAAATCCAAAAAAAAAAAAGGAAAAAAACTGAAATGTAGTTGAGATTTGGCTTCGACTCTCCTTAATGACGTAGAGTTCTTGTGCAGATTAATTGAATTAAGAGAGTATATTGGTTATATGAATTTGTGTATGAGCAGTTGACAGCTAGGGAGTAGCTGTCTTATAAAAGCAGCTTGTCTTATACAAGATTTGTCTCCTCTTCCTATGGGGGCGTGGTGAATTCTGAAAATATATCTTAAGGTTTATGATCCTTAAGTATTTCGAATATGATGCAGTGGAACTTCTCTACAGAAACCTATCTCCACTTTTACTTTTATGCTCCTTAAGTATTCCAGGTGTAATAGAGTAATACTAGTCATTCAGTTTATTGAATAATTTATGTATTTCCATTATTCCTACCTCGAGCGAGTATTATGCAGTCAGCTATTGCCGTCGTGTTGCTTATCGTTTTGAAGTTAATTGACTTGACTCTCGTATATGGTTTATTTGGTTTTATTGGCGTGAATTGTGATTGATTTGGAATACAGATGGACTTAGCTGCCGATCGGATCTTGCCCGGGTTGATTACTCCACTTACTGGCCATTTGATTAGAGGCAATCTTCGCTCACTTGAATATCAAGCAGCCCTGAACGGTTTATGGCTTACCCAATGATCGCCCCAGCCAGCCACTTATGTATGTGTGGTTTTTTCATTGTGTTTACCCTTATGTGGGCTCGGATTGCTTTGATTGGCAACTATAGGCGTATCAAGTCAAGTGTTTATCTGTGCTCTGCTCTGCCCAGGCGACATGTTGAATTGCGTGACAATCATAATTAAGTGTTCCGCTTAAACGTGAAAAAGTGAATACTGTGAACTCAATCTGTGGCAAGGCGACACGACTAACAGCTGTTAGAATGTCACGAGTATGACTGATATTCGTCATATTCCCAAAAATTGATAAGATTTGTTTGTTTTTAATTATTAGCTATGCGACAGCCATTTTAATTTCCATTCACAAGATTCGTGGGGAGCGCCAGCCAAAGACTGAAACTTATCTCGGCATTTAACTGGGGCAAAGTCTCTGAATATTCATTTACCTCAAGATATCTTGTGGCATGAGTCATCGAAGCCCAATGAAAATTGACACAAGTTTGGAATATTCCATACATTTATAGTGAAAATTAATTGTTGTAAATGGATTTTGTGTTATGCAAAAGCTCTTTTCTAATTGGCATTGAATTACAATATTTTTTTTAAAGAAGTAATCAGACAGAAGCAAAGTTTATGTCTTTGACTCTTCCATCTGCATAATTCTTACTATTTTAAAAACACACTCTTAAAAGGTATTAAATTGCAAAGCTATGTCAAGTATAGCGTTAATACTAAATAATAACAATATAATATATATTTCATCATCCTCTTCTTTATATATAAAACCAACTTAGAATGTTTTAATAAACAATAGAAACCTGCTGCCAGATTAATAAACAAAACTTGGACGACTTGAAAGTCATTTTAAAATTTGAAATAAACAAAAATAAAGAGCACAAAATATTTATTTTACTTGTTATAATATTATAATAAAAATATATAAATATTTAAAAAAAAAATACCTACTATCGTCTCTGTATTGAATTTGTTTAAGTAATTTATTTATTCAAATGAGTTGACGCAACGTGTCTCGACGCATGTAAAAAAGTTAGAGGTCAAACGCAGTTAATATATTGTAGTATATATAGCATGAATCAACAAGGGAAAATGTACTAATTAACAGGTAACGGCCAACAGGTAGCACAATAATACGGCCAATCTGATGGAGATTTAGCATTAGCATTACACACAATCAACTGAAAACATAATACAAAGGTAAAGTAGTAAAGACTTTATATTAAAGTCTCTAGCTCTATGCATATGTGCTGCTTCTTCCTCTACGAGCATATATGTAAATGTATATCACCATATAGACATATATATATATATATATTGATATATTATGCAGTTGATGGACTTGTTCAACTTTATGGGTTCAACAAAATGTTTATAAAATCGTATATAAATTATAAATGTAAATATAAATTAATTGAAGTCAAAGTCAGCTACTGGCATTTCTCTCTTAAATGAGATTAGTATATACACGGTTCAATGCATCATGATTCTATATGTACATACATATGTACATATACAAAGTAAACCAGTTTAGCATATATATACGCACACACGCACACACACACATTTATATTTCACATACATTTATGACATATTTAAAGCACTTAATAAAAATGTTGAAAAAGTCGTTGAACTGATTTCCGTTAGAATTCAACTACAATTAAAATGTGTTCAATTAAATTTTTGTTATTGTCATCGCCAGACCAATTATAAAACTAATGTGTGTGAAATGCATTCAGTAATTTATGCAAATGTACAGATGTGTACATTCGAATAAGTACACTTGACATTAATTCGAGTAATTTGCATTTGATTTGTGTTTTTCTTGTTTTTTAATCATTCGCACGTACAACAGAAATTTTTTATTTATTTCAGAATTCTTCTTTCTTTTTTTTTTTTAATTTGAGCAAAGGTGAGAACAAGTAAGGTAACAAAAACCTACATTCTTTTAGATTGGTTTTCGTGCCGGAAATTAGTTTGAATTACTGTATCAAATTTTTCGTTTTCTCTTTTTGTTTCACTCTCTCTTTCTCTTAGATCACGACTTGTGGGACAATAACGAGCGCGTTCCACGAATTCCCGGACTTCCGATCGTGGCTCCGCTTTTAATAAGACTAAATCGCAGCAAATTCTTGTCAACACTTTATAGGCACGCACACACACAGCGTCACACTCACACGCACACACACACACTCGGGCAGTAACAAGCAAGCGTCACTCGCACTGAAATTTAAAATGAAGAATCGAATCGAATCGTATTGAGGCGCCGCGATTAGCCATACGATCTGACTATCTCGCTCGGCTCGGGCCCGACGCAGAGCCGAAGCCTTGGCTGTGCTTGTAACGTTGCTGTACGGGCATTGGTATTGATAGGCGTGCGAACTACCATAAATCAATGTGCCTGAGCCAATGCGACTCGTAAATAATTTTTGTATTTATTTAAAAAAATTTCAACTTAATTTACGAGCTTGTTAAATGACATTATTAACGGTTAGTATTGTATATCAGTTACTTATATTGTAGAACAGTTAAATAAAATATGTGCAATAAATATATAGATATATTGTAAATCAAAAAGCAACAAATATAATATAGTAGACTTGGCTGCAGCTTGTGTATATTTAGTATTTTATTGGTATCTGTTTATATATATACAAACTATACTTTGGTATTTGTTTATATGTATTATAAGCATTATTTTAGTAATTTGTTCATATACGTATATGCTATAAGCTTTACAGTTTAATATTTGATTATATATTTATAAAATATATAAAAACTTTATTCTTAATATTTGTTTATATATTTATACATATGTATACATAGAAACTTTATAGTTTATATTTACTATATTTTAGAATTTTAATAGATAGAAAACAGAAAGTTATTTAATATTGAATGACGCGCATGAGCCAATCAAACACTTAAAACTCTTTAATCAAAAACAAAAAAAAAAAAAAAAAAAAAAAAAAAAAAAAAAAAAAAAAAAA